AAGCCTTCACCACATAATCAATCATGCCTATCTAGGTTATCAATAAATGTTATTTAAAACTGTTGGTGACTAATGAGAAGAATTATCGGCTGTTGGTGGCCACAACACATCCACATAAATGTTCGGTACTTCCTGAAGCTAGCCAGGTTAAGAAACATTCCCAAGACCGCAATATTAACCCAGAAGAAAACCAGCATGCCTAATATAGCCTAATCACCAATTATCTATACAATGGAGGAGATGACCTCCACTCTTAATTAGTTCATATTTTTCATCCACATATGCTTCTACAAAAGTTCATAAGATATGTATTCACCACCTTCTAGGTATAAGATGCCTTTTCCAAGAGCTGCTACATATGTAATATAAGAAGTCAGTCCTGGGGATATAAAGAAAAAATGAAATGACTCTCTCACCTCAGGGACCTTATTTACTGGGGTACAACATATATGCAGATAAATATTGTGTAAATGCAAAACAAAATATATAAACTAACCTAGACTTGGAGGATCATCCCAAGACAATGTCTTGATTTGAACCAATCAAGGATGTACTAAGCACATTCCATGTGCTAGACACTGGGATGAATACGGGCTGGTCTCATGGTTATTTCCTAATACCTGTAACCAATAATGGTGCCATGTTTACTAAAATGGAATGGAAACATAACCAGCTTTCCTAGGCTGGCCCCCCACTCAAATCTCTTCCCTTACTTTCTTGCCCCCAGCTGGGGGAGATAATGTCTCATACTGATGCAAAGCACTGGCTATTTTAAGTTTACTCTAAAACTTAATCATCTTAAGGCTGGAAGAGATAGAGATAGGTCAAGGGTCTTAGTGAGAAAATTTTAAGTAATTGTTTAAGGATCTGAAAGCAAAATGTAGCAGGAGAGGGTACTTTAAATAGTTAATCTGACCCTCCATCACTAGTGATTGTCAAATAAAACATAAAAATAAAAATACTGTCAAAGATGTAACTGAAAGAATCCAACATTCTCTTAGGTTGAATGTTACCCAAAATTAAGTTGTAGGCCAAATGAATAAAAATTAAGATGCTACTGAACTTCATTTGTTTCTAATACAGGACATATGAATACTAAACCCAAAAAGCAGCCTCAGACTAGTAGATCCTTGGAATAATTCTTAAGTTTTCTTTAAAAAAAATTTGCAACAAGCCATGTGCCAGTGTAGAAGATACTCTTTCCCTCCAGTTCAATTCAGCTATTCTAAAAGGTAATAACAGAACCTTTGTATGCACTAAAGTGCCGAGGTGGGGCAACCAAAATCATTTGATCATTTTAGTCTTACTCCCTTTGACCAGCTAGACTAGATAATGTAATTACTGTATCATCTTTTGATAGTGTACACAGTAATTTGCATATCTTTCAATGAGTGACTAATTGAAATACAATTGCAACACAAATCCAACTAAATTTACACTGTTGCTCAGAGCAAGAATTTTAGAAAAGTTCAAGTATACAAAATTCAAGAAATTCTCCCTTACCACAGATAGCACCTGTAGGCAGAGAGTCCAAAGTAATTGATCACATTGGCTTTATTTCGAAGCTGCTTCAATAACTAGAAATCACAAAGGAGAGAATGGTACAATTTTTGTCAGTTGTGAATATTATATTTTGGTGCTTTCCATACAACAACCTTGTTGAAATAGGTATTGCAAATATTATATCTTCATTTTGCAGATCAGGAAACAGCCCCAAAGTGAGGCCTAGAGGTGAAGCTCAAGGTTACAGAGCTAATAAATGGATGACCACAACTCACATCCAGTTTCAATGTTCCTTTCGTTATGCAGCACGGATAAACACAGGAATGGGAAAATGTGATTGACAGTCTAATGGTTTGTGTCTAATTGTATCGATGAAATCAAGGATGAACAAATGGAGTACAAAAAGGATAAGACCATAATGAGATAAAGATTTTTAAATTAAAAATTATCAAGGAAAAAGCTCAGATTGAACCACCACACCCTTAAACCTCTCTACACATTACAGGACAAAATACAATTCAAGCCAAGTTGAATCTATAAACGTTATTTTATTATTTGGATCACTTGGATGATTTGAAACCGAACTAATGGATATAACTAATCTATTTCAATAGCTATTAACTGGCTATTGTGTACACAAATGAGACATATGAATGTCAAGGATAATAATCAAGAAAAATACCCCAAACTTATGGTAGTCAAACGTTTCAGTCTTCTACAAAGAAAATTAAACAAATGTGCCAAGATGGAACATAACAACTAATTGGAATTTTATCTCTTCTGTCTTTTACCAAAAACAGGTGCTAATGAGCAATTAAATGGCCAAAAGCAACAGCAAAGAACCATGGGAATTCCTAAACTGGGTTAACTAGCACCCAGATAAAACTGAAGGACCCGACTTTAAGAATATCTCAAGGGAACAAGCAAGTTTTTGATCCAACTGATGCTAGTTGTTGTGTTAAAGGTCTCAAGATTAAGAACTTTGAAGTCACTCAACTTGGATTCCTTTTAAAAATAGCGTTTAGTACTTCATAGCACCTCTCCAATACTTCAAAACCATGATTGCATTGATAAGGGTGCTTCTATATCACTGACACTCCTGCTGACAAGCACCTCACATCCCCCTGCTACAGTCGAAAAATGTCGGTCAGCTGACAGGCATCCCCACTTAGGCTAGTCTTCTAAACAGAATGAAAAACAAAGAAACCCGGCACATTTCCCCATTGATCTATATTAAATATAGATCAGTCAATAGATAAGTTTATATTGGCTGTCGAACTGCTGTCCAAATAATATGCCACCAAGTTCATGAATTATGAGTTTTTTCATTTTAAGGAACCACTTAAAAATACACCGGGTGTCCCAAAAGTCTTAGTGCAGTCCTAAGCCATTAAGCTCTTAAATCTTTGGCATGCATTAAGATGTTTGAGACTTAGGGACAGCTAGGTGGGGCAGTGGATAGAGCTTTCCCCTTGGAATCAGGAGGACCTGAGTTCAAATCCTGCCTCAGACACTTGACACTTACTAGCTGTGTGACCCTGGGCAAGTCACTCAACCTCAACTGCTTCACAAAAAAAAAAGACTTTTGGGACACACTATATAATCATCTGTAGAGTTTAGCTGTTTCAAGATTTGGGGGCAGGGAGAAGGGACAGAGTAGGCCATTCTTGAGAAGGAGCATTTAATAACAATATAATTCATATGTCACCTCCAACCTCAGAATTCTACTTAGTGGTTTCAGAAAATTAATAAGTTTTGAATACTTTTATTCAAATTTTAAGTTATTTAAATCCTAATTTCCTTTTTATTGTGATAACTGTATTCAAACAACTATAGTTATGGGTATAGGCTTTAAAAATGTTAAGTATAAGGACATTTTACCATTTAATCACTACCTCAGCTGTATTACCATTCTCTTAATGCCAACTCCTCTTTATAACCTATTTTTTAAAAAAACAAAACTTCTTCATGCCTTAATATACCATTTATTATCATTGCCTGTCAGCTACTTGAAATACAGCTTCAGAAGTCAAATACCAGCAGCTGGTAAGAAAAGTAGGATTTCTTTAAGGCCTTAGGGTAAAATGAGTTATGTCAACACCCTCATAGCAAAATAACCAGGAAACAAATAACTAGCTTAAAGGAAAAACTCAATCTGTTGAGATTAAGGGAATAAAAACTTAGTTCTCATATTTAAGACCAAATGAAACCTTGAATGTGTGTGTGTGAGGGGGAATCTCAATCTCTCACACAGAAGTCTGGAGAAATTTCAAGACAGTAAAACTTCATTTTTTCCCTTTAAATTAGAATAAATTTTAATTGTTTGAATATTCAGAAATGAGTTTATACACTCTTCAAAACTGGGTTCAGGTTAATAGTCTTGCTAAAATATGTACACTTACTAGGAAATTTTTGCAGGTTCACTTCCTTAAAAAAACAAAAAACAAACAAAAAAATCCTAGTGGCCAGAATTAGCTAATAACGTTGTCTTTCAAGAAGAAGCAGAGCAGCGCAATCAAATATTGTACTGCTAAAGCATCTACAACCGAAGTTATCTTGCCAAGACAAAAGTATACACTCTGCGTATATATTAATCTGCAAATACATTCTTTGAGAACGTCCAAGCCGCTATTTATTTATCCAACTAGGTCCAAAGACAATGAACTGAGAGAAAATGGTGGGGTGCCGCCCACTTTGGGCAACTTGTCAATTCCAGAACCGCTCTTCCCCTTTGCGAAAACCGAGCCTGCATAGATTTTCCTTGGCAAGGAGCAACTACACCGCAAGCATCCTCTGCATAAGGAAGGCGAGGTGCCTGCAGAGCAAAGAGCAGCTGTCGCAGGACTGGGTACCAACACCAGTGTGGGCTTGGGCTGCAGGCAAGAGCTCCTGGCGAAGACCTTCCCTCAAAAAATACTAGGAGGAGAAAAGAGGGTGGGAAGGACTCAGTTCTCTCAAACCCCCGCCCATCACAACCACAGAGAGAACTTCTAGCCTAGGGTCTGTCTCACCTAATGGCTCTATTTCCCCTGTGGGGGGAGGAGGAAGGGGAACAGGAGTTAAATGTCCGGTGGTCCTTTAATCTATGGGGTTTAAAAAGAAGTACCGCATCTAACTCGGGGCAGGATGAGTGCCGAGGGGCTGGGGGCAGCGGCGGTGGTGGCAGCAGCTGGGGGAGGCCACGGCGCCCCCCCCGCAGCGAGCCCCCGCGAATCCAGGACAAGCGTGTGCCACCCGCCCTAGCCCAGCTCCCTACCCGAAGGGGGTCCAGCTCCGGGGGCGGGGGGAGGGCAGCGAGGACCCAGCCAGGCTTTCCCTCTAGCTCACTGGGAGACTGCTGGAAGGTCTACAAAGTTTTCCCAGGCAAGCGACAATAATAAGGATCTCATCCCCCGGCCCCCTGCAGCTGACGCTTTTCCCAGAGTCGGTAGCGCCCACCGCCCTCGTGTATGGAGGGGCAGAACGTGGGAGTGTGGTGGGGGTGGGAGACGCTTTACCTTTGGGGAGGCGGGGCTGCGCCGGTGGCGCGGTCCCCCGGAGATTCCGGTGCAGCTGCTGCAGCTGTAGCCGCAGTCTCGGTAGAGGGGCTGCCGTTCTCCTGCTCCGCCAGCACCGGGGCCCCTGCGGCTCCCGGCTCGGCTGCATCTTGCGGCGACCCCGGCGGCCCCGTCACTGTGGAGCTCCCCGCGCCCATGGCTCCACTGCGGTTCTCCTCGGGTCAGCCGCAACACACCGCACAGATCTGCTTTCCACCAATCTCACGGAGACTCCCGGCAGTAGGCTGAGGAGCGAGGAGGGAGGACAGGGTCCTTGGGGACTGATGTTCCAAACCACTTGGATTCACCTGCTTCCTCCTCGAGATGAGCCCGGACTGCGAATGAAGGAGACAGGCTCTCTGCAAACTCCTTTAAAAAAAAAAAAGCCACCACCTCTATGCCTCCTCCCCCACCCTTGTTTTTCCCTCTCTTCATCACATGAGCTCAGCCCCAGACACGCCTTGCAGCAGCAGCAGGAGCAGCAGCAGCAGCATCTCCCACCCCAAGCAATTAGGAATTACAACAGCCAGCAGAGATAGCCCCAGTGAAAGCTTTAACCCCTGCTTTCACAGCAACCTTCTCGTTATCTCCGAGAGCATCTCCTATACGTCCAGGGACCCCCAGGATTTGTCGTGAACACCCACCCCAGACTTGCTGGAGGAGAAAACGGGAGAAAGAAAGGGGAAGGCAAAACTCCCCTACACACCCAAAATTGGATTAACTGGGTTTTATTAAATGATTGATAGCTCAAGGAAAGGTCTTCTGTGTGGTGCCTGACCTTCAGCTCGCGTACAAGCAAACAAAAGGCCTCCCGTTCTCTCATAAATTGTTTTCTATTCTAAACATTTGTTTTTCCCTTCTCTTTGATTAGGGTGGGTGGGGGAAGGTGGAGAAGAGGTTTACTGCTCCCCTCGAAGCATAACCCTGATCAAATTGCTTAATAGGGGAGAAGTAGCAAATGGAGTAGAAATACATTTAGACTATGGCTAAGCTTTGCAACTGGTGCCATTTCACCTCCATCCAAAAGGATGTGATGCCATCTAATCTCATAAATTAAATGGGGCCACTCTCCTTTCTTGGGGGAACACATTAGAAAAATGTAGCTGTGACGGCATGGGCCCATCCTCTTTATTTTAATGCCGCGATGTTGAAAATTACGTATCTCCCTTCTCTCTTCCAAATAAAATAAAAAAAATTGTGGCCAATTCCCCCTCCCCTTTATAAAATGATGTGCAATTGAGCCCAGGGTACAAAGTTAATTCCAATATTCTATTACATTATACTCTTAGATATGATATTGTCTTGTTTAAAGTAATTGATGTATTGCTTGATACACAGACAAAATGATGGTGGGACAGATAAAACCAGAAAACCCCCATCCTTTCCTCACCAGCACCTTCCCAGAGCCTGTTCCAACAACTAAACTCTGTATTTCAATGAATGACTTGAATCACCTGGTGTAGGTTAATTTGCTTTTTTTTAAAAGAGGCATACTCTTTTCTATTTTCTTTTTCAATTTAATGATTACCCAGATTTAGTCCTACTCAGACCACAACGTTTATGAAAGCAGTGTTTTGAGTACCAGCTTCTTACAGGCAAAACTAATCGTAGTGACAAGCATCTTAGGGAAATACTGAAGATCATTCCTTTTACAATTTAGTTAAGTACACGGATCATTCAATCAGTGCATAGAGTGTTCCACTTTCAGCATGTTTTCAGAATCAGAATTTGTTTATTTTCAGGGAGTGGACACGGGCAAAGTCCTTTGGGATGTATTCCTTGAGAAAGATTTCTTTTTCTTTTTTTTATGTTGATTTCCATGTATTCAATTCATTTTGATTTTTGATTTTCAATCATTACTATTTGATTAGTAAACTCATTGTTTATTCCATTTCTACATATCCTAATTGGAAATCTATAATGGCATTACATTGAAAAGCATTCTAAAACAATTCTCTTCTCAACTTGCATTTATTTCTTAGCATTTTGCGGGGAGAGGGGAAGAAAGATTGAAAAGAGTAACTGATACTTCACCCTAATATTTAAATTCCAGTACTTAAATATTGTCATTCCTTTACCTTAGTATACAACTAAACTGCTGCCTCAACTTTCCTATTATATTCAATGGCCATTTAAATCCAGTCTTTGTTGTTGTTCAGTCATGTCTGACTGGTCCAGGACTCAAATCTGACCCTGGGCAAGTCACTTAATCCTGTTTGCCTCGGTTTCCCCATCTGTCAAATGAGCTGGAGAAGGAAATGCAAACTGCTCCACTATCTTTGCCAAGAAAACTCTAACTGGGGTCACAAAGACTATGACACTATCAAAATGACTGAAAACATCTTTGACTCTAGGCTTGGGTTTGTAACTGCTGAGCCACCTAGCTTCCAAATCCAGTCTTTCAAAGATTCTTAACAAAGTTCCTCATGTTTAGTTATATTTACATTTGAAAAAGTTGTCACAACAAGCTGACAAAGCACAATTCACCCAATCCAGCCCCTCTATGAGGATCCTTTTAAATGTCCAGGGCCATATTTCCTTCTATAAGCATCTGATGTGTAGATAGGTTTCAAACTAATAAAACAGTGGAATACTTACCAAAACAAAATCATAATTTAAATAAGCTTATAAACTCAAGTAGTCTTTATACTAATAGTACTCAGATGAGATCAGTTATTTTGTAATCTGGAATACAGAGTAATTTGCTGGCATTAGTGAACAGCTCTAGGAAAGGTAGAGAGAGGTTTTCTCTATAAGCTCTTATATTTTGACATGCCAGAATGTTCTTTTCTCTTTTGTATAGGCTTAAGAAAAATATGAGTGGAGTGCTTTGAAGATTCTTAAAGAATTGCTGTAAAAATCATTTTATATCCACTTTGGCTAAAAGATTTTCCATTCTCTTGGATCTCCTGGCCTTTGCTTTGGAAGCACTATAAAGTCACAGTTCTTCCCAACCCAGTAGAGCATCATGGAACCTTAGAGCTGGCAAGAAAGAACCTTCAAGGTCATTTATATCCAATCTTTTCATGGAGCAGGTGAGGCAATGCTAAACCCCAAGTCCACCAAAATTTATTTCTTTGAAAAAACAGGAGAGTAGCTGGGTTCTTGAAATCCACTTGAATGAAGACATTTCCAGAATTGTTTAGTGTTGGAGGAAAAGGAGCTATATCAATTTCATTCAAATTCGACAAGCATTTAATAAACACTTAACTATGTGCAAAGCACAATGGATGGCGCTGGGAATATGAAGTCAAAAATGAAAAACAGTCCCTGGCCTCAAGAGTCATACCTTCTACTGCTTGTAAACAAATAAGCAACTATAATTGAAAGGGGACAAAAGCACTAAAAACTACTTTAAACTTCTGGTGCAATGCTCTAAGTTATTCCTCCATAGAAGTAGCAATAGTCTTATCTTCACAATATCTTCCTTAAAACAAGGAAGCAAATAAATGGAGCAAATAAAGGAACAAATAAACATTAACGTCATTCCCTTCCTACAGTAGGTACAGAAAGCCAGTTTACATCAGGTTCATCCTCTTCCACAAATAGCGTTTGAGATTTCGTAAAAATAAAAGCTTTCCTGGTATAGCCCGCAAAACTTGTATCTCTTAAGAGAAGGAGGGTGTTGGGAAATACAAGTTTCACTCTTATTTACTAGGAAAATCTAGTGGTCATTGTCATTGACTGGGCCTCATGTGCACATACCAAAACATCCCTTAAATCCAAAGAAATCATCAAGTTGGTAGTGTTAGTTACAATAGAATCAATGTCCACATAAAAATATTAATAATTCAAGATTTCAAGGGTCTGTGATTTTAAGCATGTGAGTAGTTCCTCTAATAATGCAGATCAATAAGTCAACAAGAAATTAGTAGTAGGCTCCTATTATTTTCCAGGATATCTTGCAAGGCATTGTGGATACAAAGACAAAAACAAAGCAGTCTTTGTACTTGAAAAGCAGTACACACACATACACACACAGACACAGCACTTGGAAAGGAGATAGACATATGTATGTATGTATATATGTATATATATATATATATATGCACACACATACACACATATATATATATGAAAAGCAGTATATATATATATCTGACATATATGTGTGTATATATGACACTTGAAATCGATACAGTACATATATATATGAAAAGCAGCATATATATTATATGTGTGTGTATATGTGTGTATATGTATGTATGTCTATATGTATATACAAGATACTTTGAAAGGAAATAGACACAAGAGAAACTTGGAAAGTTCTAGCAACTAGGAAAGACCTCCTAACAAGTAGGTAGCACTGGAAGGGAGTCATGAAGGTCCTCTAAGAGGTTTAAGTGACTAGAGAGAGCATGCCTTAGTGAATAGTCTTCAGGAATTAATGTGGCCAAAAGAAAATTCATCACCTGGTGGCCACCTATCTGTTGTTAAGCTCCTCTGAACCCTACTGGACTAGTCCTTGGAAAATAGGCTTTCACTGGACATGGACCTGAAAGTTTTCTCAGCTTGACATGATGTCAGAACTGGGTCTCCACTGACGTAATCTTCCAGAACTCAAGATGCCCTTTGTACCACAACAAGGCATAGGAGGAGGAAGACGGTAGTAGAGGCTTGGTACTGAACTGCCACAGCATAGAAACTCTCATCACTGATGCTGATCAAAAACTGATCTGAAATACATAATGTTAAAAGGATTGCCTGGGCATTGAGAGGTTAAGTTTTTAGCCCTAGGTCACATAACTAGTGTGTTTCAGTAGCTGGAGTTGAGTCCAGGTCTTCCTAAGTCCAAGTCCAAACCTTTCCACTGAATCATACTGACTCTGTTAATGGAGGTTAAATATTTTTAAATAATCAGAACTGGGAATGTTTAGCTTGAAAAAAGAAGACTCAGGGGGAGACATGATGGCTGTCTTCAATATTTGAAGAGTTATCTTTTGGAAAGGGAATGAAATTTCTTCTGTTTGACCCCAGGAAACCAAACTAGGAACAGGGGATAGAAATTACAAATCCATGGATTTAAGCTTAATGTCAGGAAAAACTCTCCAAAAATTAGAGCTATCCAGAAGTGAAATGGGTTACCTCCAGAGGTGGTAGGCTACCTCTCATTGGAGGTTTTCAAGCAAAGGTTAGAGGTGTATTGTATGTAGTAGGGATCTCTGAGGGTTACTGATCAGAAAGATGTTGGATCACAGCTCCTCTGAGGGCCCTTTAAGCTGAGAAGTTGGGTCATTCTATGTTCTCAGCAAGGATGGGGGAGCTTGAAGAAGGAATAGGTGGAGGAGGGAAAATGATGAGTTTAATTGTGGATATGCTGATTTTTTAGGTGCTGTTGAGATATTCAAGTAGAGATGTCCTCCAGCCAATTGGTGATACAGGACTGGAGATAAGGAGACTATAAGTCTGGATATCTAGAATTTGGAATTATCTGCATAAAGATAACTGAAGCCATGGGAGTGGAATCTCATCAGGAATTGGAAGAATATAGAGATCAAGAAAAGAAGGCCCAGGAGAGAGCCACGAGGGACACTCATATTTGTTGTTGTTTTCAGTTGTGACCTAATCTTTGTGACACCATTTGGGGTTTTCTTAGCAAAGGTAGTGGAATGGTTTGGCATTTCCTTCTCCAGCTCATTTTACAGATGAGGAAA